CCAGCAATAAACTCATCATCGTCTTCGGATACCAATCCTATAGCGTAGCAAACATCTTTGAATGTTGAATATTGAACACCGTTGACGGTCCTAAGATCAGAAAAACAAAACGCTCCTCTTCTCACCTTCAACAAAAGTCTTAAGTAATAAAGTTCACCAGATGACAATGGACAACACTGCAAGAGAAAGACTTGAGAAGTTTGAGATAAACGGCGCCTCCATTTTGATTGTTTACGATCCCAAACCCATTCCAATGGGAATTGAGGATACGTCAATTCCCTTGCTTCATGATGAAGACGATTACATTCCATCCAAGCTTCCAGTTTACTCTTCTTGCCCAAACCAGACGTTTCCTCATCATCGGAGAACGATTGCGACGGTGGAGGGAGGTGCACAGGTAGGAATGGAAGCCCTAATCAATGTTAATAATATACATATCAAATATAAATGATTAAACGTTTTAACCAATAAAATATGAAAGCTTAAGATAGGTGCTGATAAATAACAAATACCAGCCGAAGACATATTCCAAGAAAATTATATACGATGAAACACTGGCTAAGAGTATCCTGAAAAGCACAGAGTCAAGAGATCAGCAAGTACAATATGGCAAATTTAAAAAAAAAACATACAAAAATTTAAATATAAGAATCAACCAACAAAGAAATACAAGAAACACTATAAGAAGTACATATAAAGAAAAATACATTAAATTATAGCCTAAAATATCATAATAGAAACGATTAGGTTAAGAGATAAGTAAGTATACCTATAGGAGTTCTGAACGTGTATAAGCAGGCCGTCCTAAAATAACAAAAAACAATAGTGATCGGACAAAAAGCAACATAGTGTTAGTTTTAAGCTAGAGACTGTAAACCAATAAGGGTTATACGAAACAACATAAAAAGATCGTATAAATACACTTACACGAAACCGATACGATGAATGAAAAGGATGAATGTGTGATTGGGTACACAAATTCAATATCCTCTCAAGCGGATGAACCTACAATATGAAACCAACAAAACCAAAAGAAAAAAGAAAAGCAAACATAAAAAAATTTGAAATCAAAAACCAAAACGAAATAATATAAAACATGCGGCTAACAGAACTTACACGAGATAATCGAAGAGGAAGAATCAAATAACAACAACATAGGTGTTTAAGATCGTTCTCAAAAAGATCAGCGTGCGCTCTTAGATTCAGTATCGTCCTCAAAAGATCTGCCTACAATAGAAAGCAACAACAACATCAAAATTATTCCAAAGAAAAAAAGCAAGCAATATATAAACGCAAATCAAATCAAGCAATATTTGACCTAGGGTTTATCTAAAACGTTTTGAAAGAATGAACGTATGAGACTTATTTATATAGGTGTTTAAGATTAGGGTTTAGGTCGGTAGATTTCGTTTAGGTCACATAAAATATGGGCCGTGAATATTTGTATGGGCTTACGATATTGATTTTTGCGAATTTGTTTAAAAAAAATTGGTTAATATATTCAAAATTAATTATTCTCATTAAGGGGTAAGAGGTAATTAACCAGCTGAAACTCAATGAGAGGCCTTCATTGCTTATTCTGAACTCGATTTTAATAGTATAGATGTCGTTATTAATCGTTTCATACACAAGACAATTCGAAGCAATTACTTGTTTGCCTAATCTTTGTTTTTTTTTGTTAATACGTTTCATGATCAAATGTGTGCTCAAATATGAGTACGGTTTGCGACGTTTCTCTTTTTGAAATGTCTTTATTATTATTTTTTTATTAATATTATGTTTCAAAGTCTAACCTAAATTTGGAGGGATGGGTCAGAAATTCACATATATTCAAGCCTACCCCAACTGTTTTTTTTTTCTTTTCTTCCAGAATTTTGTAGTTTGTGGACAAAGACAAAATATCATTTCTTTTCTCTTTATTCTAGAGGGGTTTTTTGTGGGTTGGTTATCAGTTATCTCTCTAATGAAAAATACAAACATGTTTTTTCTGAATGATGTGTCTATGATGACGTCTCAAGATTGCATTTGCACGATTATAACTAGAAACAAGATCATCGATTTTCGTATAAACATAGCCTTTTATTTTTTATAAGAATTGTTTTTACAAATAATTTTTAAAAGTGTGTCTTTAAAATTTAATGTATTAGACTTTTTGTATTTATTGTAATATTTAAATCTGAGTTTTTTTTTGTTTATGTGTCAATTTTAATTTTTTTTTTTGTAAATGTGCCAATTTTAAAGTTCCTTTCAATTCCACCATTTATAAAACTTTAATAATTTATTGCAAAAGATATTTAATCAACAACTGTTTATAAATAAAAGAATAAAAAAGGAAAAAAGTTCATATCGATACATACAAAATACATATATTTAATAGTTTTCAATCAAAATAGAGGAACATATTTGGTGTTGGATTTTTTTTGGTGATTATGGATTAGGTGATTGGATAATTGGAAACAAATTTAATCCAATCCCTCTCAGTGTTTAGGGTTCGGTCTCATCCTTCAGTGTCCATGATCATTCCGTGTCATCAGAACAAAATGGGAATTGTTCTCCTAAGTTCTTTTTCAACGCTCAAAGTCAGCTAAAATGTTTGCAAATAAAGAAAATATTTTACTCTGACCAAAAAAAAAAAGAAAATATTTTAGTTTACATATAAGTTCCAAAGTTTATGATATCGTGCAAAATAGCCCAACTTTGTTTGGGTTTTAATTGTTAAAACTTAAACCTCTATTGTTGTTTTTGGATCCGAAAGTGTCTCTCTTCTCCTCCCGTAAAATGGCTTCGTCTTCTTCATCTACGACGCCGGATGCTGTGACCGCGATGGATGAGGAGCTAACTCTAATCGTTAAGTGGAGTGGAAAAGAGTATACGCTCCGAATCTGCGCCGATGACTCCGTTGCTGAGTTGAAGCGTCGCATCTGCTTTCTCACCAACGTCTTGCCCAAGCGCCAGAAGCTTCTTTATCCCAAAGTCGGAAACAAGCTCTCCGATGACTCTCTTTTGCTCTCTCAGATCCCCCTCAAGCCCTCTCTCAAGATGACAATGATCGGGTCCTTCTCAATCTCTTCCTTTTCTCCTTCTCTTATGCTACTGATTCTTAACCCTAATCGTATCTTTGCCCGTCGCATTCATTTGATTTGAAGTGAAATTTTTTAAGCTGAATCATTCTGTGGTTTGAGAGACTAAATGCATTGAGTTATGGATTTTTCAGTACTACCGAAGATGATATAGTAGTAGATCAAGCAACATCTCAGGACATTGTTGATGACTTTGAACTTGGTAAAGACGAAGTGGTGGATATTAAGGACAAAGAGATCAATAAGCAGAAGCTGAGGAGAAGAATTGATCAGTACAAGGTGAGTTCTGAGCTTCTATGTCTTCCAAGTTTGGAACTTGATTTCAATCCAAAACGCAAAGACGCTTGTAGCATGTTATTAGGAACTTTGTACATTTGAGTGTCTTTGATACAAACGATTTCTCATTCAGTGTAGATTTGGGTAGAGAGGTTAGAATCCTTAGTAATGTGCTTTGAAACATATTATTAGCTCGTAAATGTCAGTGATTTAAGTTATTAAGCATTCAATGTAGATTGATGCTATGCGTGAGTTTCTCTGTGTATCATTTTTCTCAGAAGGTTCTTGTATGATTTGCAGATTAAACTTATTACGCCATGTCGCAAAGGCAAAAAGCTACTTGTTCTAGATATTGACTATACATTATTTGATCACCGTTCCACAGCCGAGAACCCGTTACAGCTTATGCGTCCTTGTAAGCACTATATTCCTCATTATCTCCTATATATTTCGTTGACTGGTTACATAGCAGTATCCCCTGACGAGTGTCTAAATGCAGATCTTCATGAGTTTCTTACTGCTTCATATGCAGAATATGATATCATAATATGGTCTGCTACTAGGTGATGCTTCTTTTTTTTTGATAATTTCTTCTAAAATCATCTACCTCTTTATCTTTCATCTTCTTTCAGTATTTAATTGTCTATTTTGGTTTATGTAGCATGAAGTGGGTTGAGTTAAAGATGGGAGAGCTTGGTGTGTTGCACAATCCGAACTACAAGATCACAGCCCTTCTCGACCATCAAGCGATGATCACGGTTCAGTCAGACACTCGTGGGATCTTTGATTGCAAGCCACTAGGATTGATTTGGGCACTATTGCCTGAGGTATTAATTTATCTCATTACCATCACCACCATCAAATGTAATATTATCTATATTATAATCTCATGGATAGGATTGGTTGTTATGTGCAGTTCTACAATTCCCAGAACACTATCATGTTCGATGATCTGCGGAGGAATTTTGTGATGAATCCTCAAAATGGTCTGAAGATCAGGCCGTTCAGGAAAGCTCATGTAAACCGAGACAAGGATGATGAGCTTGTTATGCTGACTCAATACCTTCTGGCAATAGCAGAGCTTGACGATTTGAGTTGTTTGGATCATAGCAGATGGGAAACATTCACAGAAGATAGCGTCAAAAGGCGCAGGCACACATAACTCTCTTTAACCTTATTGCCATTGTTTAGATATGTTTGCTGGCTACTTCGTATGTTTTCTGGTTTAGAAATACGTTCAGTTTTCTTTTTCTTCTTATTAAGCATCAGTGAGTTATAAGCAATTGGAGATACTAGTACTATGAGAACAAATCCACTGGGCTTCGCTTATATAAACTTAAGTAAGATCAACTAGAGCTCTTAATTGGTTTGGAAACCTGAAGAATAAGATTCTTATCATAGCGAAACAAATGGCCATAGGAGTATTGGTCTTGGTATAAAACTAGTTCTTCATTTTATACTATAATTTTGACTTGGTATAAAACTAGTAAAACGAGTTTCAAACCCTATGTTTCTTCATCATTTTAGTTTTCATTTTGAGAGAATTGGCTAAAAAAACTCTTAAGGTGTATAAGATGTTATTTTTGGGATTCAAGAATTTGATCTCTAAAAATAGAACAATGGATAAAGAAAAAGGGAAGGCCTTAGAGTGACAAAAGACATGAGCGCAAAACATGGCGACCCTCTGGTTCATTATTTGGAGGGAGAGGAAAGATCCAGAGGATCAACATCAAACTCTCTCTTTCTCTGCTTCATTACGTAAAACAAGAAAAAAAAAACATTTTGTGTTGAAGAGAGGATCGATGGCGAAGATTAGAGCGGATGCTCCGGTGATGCCTCCGGAGACTCCTCCTCGGAGCAGTGAGGTGGGAGAGATTGACACGCGTCCTCCCTTCCAATCCGTTAGAGACGCCGTTAGTTTATTCCGCCAAGTTAGCTTCTCAAAGCAACAACCACCGCGTCTCTCCTCCTCCTCCTCCTCTCCTCAGGTATTTTCTTCTCTGGCTTTTCTACTCTCCTTGCGATTTTGTGCATCTCTCTGAAACAGCTTTCTTTCTTTCTTGTTTAAGGATGCAACGGATGTGTTGGATAAAGAGACGCAGCTTCTGTTAGCAGAACAAGAAATGGATAGAGTCAAGCTATGTCTTGATGACTCTGTCAAAGCTAAAGCACAAGCTCTCTCTGATCTCGACTCTGCTCAGCGAAAGGCCGCTGATTTGAGGGCTAAACTAGAAGCCACAAAAGAATCTAGTAAATGTGCCATATTGGCCAGACACACCATGAATCAACGGTTAGAGGAACTTCAATGTGAGAACCAAGAAACAGAGAGCGCAAAAGAGAGTTACATTTTAGTCACCGCAGAGCTGTTCATGGCGAAGCAAGCTCTCGTGGAAATAAAACAGCAATTCAACATCTCCGTGGAAGAAAGGCTAGCTGAGCTTCAAAAGGCAGAGAAAGCAGAGTGTGCGTCCATGGTTAACTCCAAAAAGATCCAAGACATGTCACAGGAGATAGCTGAGATGCGTGACGCTGCTGAGAAATTGAAGTCCGATGCTGCGAGGAAGAAAGATGAAGAGGAGAAGATTAACGAGGAGAGCATCGCCGCGGGAGAAACTTACGCGGCTATGAAACGAGAAGCTGAGCAGAGGCTAGAGGACTTGAGGAAAGATTGTGACCCTGAACTGAGGAAAGATATCGATGAGCTAGCGGAGATATCTGCGGAAAACGAGCGTTTACAGGAGGAGATTAAGCTTTCTCGTGAACTCAAGGAAGCCAAGATTGCGATGCAAGAGATTAGTGATGAAGAAAGATCATACAAAAGCTTGGTGGGATCACTCACGGTGGAGTTGGATGGTGTGCAGAGGGAGAACAGAGAATTGAAGGCAAAGGAAAAGGAGAGACAAGAAGTTGAAGACGGAGAATGGGTGGAAGCGAGCCGTAAGGTAGAAGAAATGATGCGTGAAGCAGAGAAAACAAGAAAAGAAGCAGAAGAGATGAGGATGCTCGTTGATGAGCTCAGGCGAGAAGCAGCAGCCACGCATACGGTGATGGGTGAAGCAGTGAAGCAGCTGGAGATAGTTGGAAAAGCCGTAGAGAAAGCGAAAACCGCGGAGAAGAGAGCTGTGGAAGACATGAGAGTCCTTACTGATAAGAAGGAGAGCTTGACGCATGACGAGCCTGATAAGAAGATCAGGATATCACTGAAAGAGTACGAGGATTTGAGAGGAAAGCAAGAAGAGTCAGAGAGAATGGTGCAGTATAAAGCAAAAACTGTTGCTGCTCAGCTGGAAGAGATCAAAGAGAGCAGAGTAGAAGGGGAGAGAATGTTGGAGGAGAAGACGAAAGAGATGGAAGAGGTAAAGTTGGCGATTGATGCTGCTTTAAGAAAAGCAGAGATTGCAGAGGAAGCACACTGCATTGTTGATGCTGAACTTAGAAAATGGAAACCACAAGAATTGTAGCAGATGGTGATATTTGTTGTTTTAGGTGATTAGGGAACACTACTAGAATGTCCATAACCAATGTATGTTTTTATTTGTTGAGAGATTGATTACCCAAAACTTCTCATACTATAGTATATACAATGCATTAACCTGGAACAGAGACTTGAAAAAAACGAGATTTTTTTTCTTCTGGTAAGTAGGCCTGAAGCAGCCTGTTTTTAAATGGGCTTTTGTGGCCCATTACGTGAGACGAGAGCTATAAACATGATTTAATTAGGGAGATTATAGGTTCTTCTTCTGCATTTGCTTTGCCCTCCTTCCTTAATCCTTATCAATGGCGGATATGAAATCAACCTTCCTCGATGTTTATTCCACTCTCAAGACTGACCTGCTTCACGATCCTGCCTTCGAATTCACCCACGAGTCTCGTCAATGGCTTGAACGGGTACTCTCTCGATTCACTTCCATTTTCAGTTTCACGCGGATCCTTTGATCGAAAAATTCGTTTCTGCTGATTGGGGGCTCTCTTTGCAGATGCTTGACTACAATGTACCCGGAGGTGAGGAATTCACTCAGACATTACATCGAAACCCAATCACTCACATTTAATCAAATACTTGTCCGCTCTGTTCTGTTCTGTAGGGAAGCTCAATCGTGGTCTCTCCGTGGTTGATAGCTACAAGCTGTTGAAGCAAGGCCAAGACTTGACCCAAGAAGAGGTTTTCCTCTCATGTGCTCTCGGTTGGTGCATCGAATGGGTATCTCTCTTTTTACTTACTCTCTCTTGTGTCTTTCGTTTCTCATCTCAATGTTCCTTTTATGTTTGCATTTGCAGCTTCAAGCTTATTTCCTTGTGCTTGATGACATCATGGACAACTCTGTCACACGACGTAGCCAGCCTTGCTGGTTCAGGAAGCCACAGGTTGGTATGATTGCCATTAACGATGGGATTCTACTACGCAATCACATCCACAGGATTCTCAAGAAGCATTTCCGGGGAAAGCCTTACTATGTTGACCTCGTTGATTTGTTTAACGAGGTAAAATCGCTTTTGGCGTTATAACTTTCTAATTACGCACAATTTGATCTCAAGTCTATTCCTTTACATTGTTTTTAGGTAGAGTTTCAAACAGCTTCCGGCCAGATGATTGATTTGATCACCACCTTTGATGGAGAAAAAGATTTGTCCAAGTACTCCTTGCAAATGTGAGAGGATATCACCTCTATTTTTATTGGATGATGCAGTGAAAATAGCATTACATGTTCTGACTGATGATTATAGTTTTCGAAAACGTGCAGCCATCGGCGTATCGTCCAGTACAAAACAGCTTATTACTCATTTTATCTTCCTGTGAGTATGGATTCTGAATCCCCCTTTCTCTGTCTCACATTGGTTCAGAGGCAGCAATATAAATGATTTCATAAGCTAGACACATAGTGAGATGATCTGTTGAACAGTGCTAGTCACTTCCGTTGATACGTTTAACTACAATAAACATTTTACAATCTGTTGTGAAAAGAGGTCCTCGTTCATTCTTATACTCAGGTTGCTTGCGCATTGCTTATGGCGGGAGAAAATTTGGAAAACCATGCTGATGTGAAGAATGTTCTTGTTGACATGGGAATTTACTTTCAAGTACAGGTACTTAGTTTGTTACTAATACATGAGAGAGTCTTATATGATTGGCTCATTTCAGGATCCAAGAGATCAAAATTAGCAAATCTGATATCCTTCCTTTTCCATAGGATGATTATCTGGATTGTTTTGCTGATCCCGAGACACTTGGCAAGGTGAAAATTTATGCCAACACATTGGATGACCAAGCTGATCTAAGTGTATTTTAGTGCTTATCTTACGGGGCATGCATTGTCTAACGCAGATAGGAACAGACATAGAAGATTTTAAATGCTCCTGGTTGGTGGTTAAGGCATTGGAACGGTGCAGTGAAAAACAAACTAAGATACTATACGTGAGATTCAGTTTCTTTCTCATGCGCACAATGATCGATTTCTGCATAGGATTTGAAGCAGGAACAACCCTTTTTATCGGACTGAATAAATTTCCAATGTCTCAGGAGAACTATGGTAAAAGCGAACCATCAAATGTTGCTAAGGTGAAAGCTCTCTACAAAGAGCTTGATCTCGAGGTTTGGCACTAACCGTTAACACAGACACTTCCTTAGTCAAGTGAAGTAGAACAAAAGATTGTCTTTATCGGTTCATCTTGGCATGAAAGTAGAGGAACATCAGATATGTAATCTATGTAACATAATCTGTGTTTGATCTCGATTTTGCATAGGCAGCGTTCATGGAATATGAGAAGGAAAGCTATGAGAAACTGAAAAAGTTGATTGAAGCTCACCAAAGTAAAGAAATTCAAGCAGTGCTAAAATCTTTCTTGGCTAAGATCTACAAGAGGCAGAAGTAAAGACATATTGAGTGTTTTCTGTCATTGAGTGTTTCCTTCTTCGTATTGAGTGCTTTGTGTTGTAATTCTGTTCTCGTAAATGCTCTGGCCTGTCTCCGTTTTAATTCTTCTGACATTTATGTGAGATTATTAGCCCACTATCAAAATTTCACAAGGAACCAATTTGGAGCAAAATCTTGATTTCTTTATTTTATTTTACTTGTTCGATTATACAGAGTCGTAAGAGAAAAGACACAACAAAATTGGTTAGAATCAAGATGATTGAATTTCAATGTGAACCGAAACGAACCAAAACTACAAGTAATATTTCAATGTTCCTTCTTCGTATTACAACTTTGATACAAAACCCAAAATCGAGACTAAACCTGAACCATGCCAGTAGAGAGCTAAACCAATCAATCTGTTTTCAGGAGAGAACAGCGATTACACGTTCACATTTGTCTTCCAATATCTTCACAGCTTCAGTGAAGAGAACATCCGGAGGCAGTGATCCAGTGGACTCAATCTTAACTGAGAAAACACAAATAACAAACTCAATCAGGTTTCTTGAATAGTTGAAGTAAAAGGAATAAATTTTTCTTTTCTTACATATAAAATGGTTCTTGACACGGCGCAGAGCCACGTTGTCTACCCATTCTCTTTTACTTTTGTCTTCTCCTTTTAATATTGGTTTCACTATCGGTTCTCCAAATTCTTCACTTAAGCATTCCCTACACAACGTGCACTGACGCGGCCGAGCTACCGTTGCCTTTTTCCTACCTGTTTTCCACTTTTGCAAGTCAAATATGATATCGTAACCCAAAAGTTCTCAGGTTTCATCACAAACTCATATTGTTTACTCAAAAGCAAGTAAGAAGAAACCAAGATTTACAAGGAATCTTGGCAAGGCTTTTACTTTACCATTGCCCATGTCTTCAATGTCAAAAACTTTCTCTGCGCAGGCTTTCACGAGTTTTTCAGCATCTTCACCCTCAAATTCCTTTAGTAGAATGACCTACGATTTTAGAAACAGAAGCACTACAAGAAAAATTAGGATGAGGCAACACACACAAAAAAACAGGAAGCAGAATAGATTGAGGTAAACTTCTTACCTCAGGAAGCATTCGATACCAAGCCGTCGCTACTGGTGACCACTTTGCATGTGTTTTACCAATGCCCTTAACAGCATGAGCCTCGAGCTCGATTTCCTAAAAAAAAGAAGACAAAACTAAGATTCCAAGTGTTTGGTTCATCTCTCAATTCCTCTGAGAGTGAAACAACTAAGAAATAGAAACATTACCTGACCAGGGCCGAGTTTTGCTATCAATATATCAGGGTAGCTCGGAGTAATAGGATTATTAGCAAATTCGGGGAAGGAATCTTGGCTGCGGCTGAACGAAGTGTAAGTTCTTGGCTTTGAGGTTGAACCTCCTGATTCTTTAATCAACTCACTTCCATTTGGTAACCAAATCAATTCCTTCGTTAAAACTATCAGAAAAGAAAAGAAAAAACAGCATTCCATGAGAGATGGAGCTAACAATAAGCAATCTTCTCGATGCTAACGAAAGAACATATATTTACCTTTAAGACGTGGTTCACCTTTTTCACATTTCGCATGGAGTTTGAATACAATGGTGTTCTTTTCATTTGGCTGATCGTTTTCTATTACACAGGGAGGATAAAGAATTAAAACCTGAGACCACATCTATATTTGGCTTACAGAGATGGATCAAATACCACTGGAATGTTATCTTTACCGGACAAATATTCGAAGAGCCTCGGATCTGCGGCAATTGGAATAAGACCCATCCTCTGAGCAAGAACTTCATCTTGAACAACCGATGTGTTGTTTGCTACAAACACTTTTTCAATAGCCATTGTAGGAAGCTGCAAGAAAAAAAAGAAACACATGAAGAGCAAAGTTCTTTGACTCAGGGGATTTAGAGGTCTGTGTGTTAACAAACCTCAGCTAGGAGAATCCTTCGGAAAGCATTGGCGATAGCTGCATCGATACCGATCATATCGAATTCCAGTTCCATACCGTCCTCTGAAATCACATCAACTCTGAAATTCTCAGAGAAGCTTTCTAGTTTCACACTGTTGTCCACTCCCACAAATTTATAGGCACCCGAGTATTGGACACTCGAAGTCTACGAAAACACACAAACACAAGCGCGGAACAAGATTAAAGACTTCAAATTCCAAACAATCATCACACATATATCATTTGCATTTTGAAGAACAAAGACCAACACACACAATGTAACCTTGTAAAAACACTAAGACCAAACACACAAAATCAGAGCTTTTCACAAGAACTTTTTTTTCTCTGAAACTTACTCTGTATTCGACTCAAAACCAGATGAGACAACTGAGAAAAGCTAATAATCCCAATTAAGCTAGCCACAATACAAAGCCTTGTAAATTTGAAAGTAAAGCCTATAAAAAAAAGGTTCATACATGAATAGGAGCGTCATTTTTACACAAGACACGAGTTCGCTGGAGTTCCAGATGCGGAGGAAGTCTAGCTGGGACGTCGGGGTGATCCTCGATGTTGAAATTCTTCGCGAATATCTTCTCTTCTTCAGTCACCATCCTTCTCTGCAACAAAAACAAATTGTGACTAATTACAGCTAGGTTTATCAAATATCGACAGAAACCTTAGAAGTCCCACAAAAAAAAAGCTAAACTTTTTGGAAAGGAGACCACAAGGAACGCTATGCTCTAAGAGGAAAATCAAAGAAGCTTACTTCAGAACAACAATTAGGATGTGCGATTTCGAGGGAGAAAACAACAAACGGCGGTGAAGAGGGTTTGAAAAAGCCGTCGTCTTTAACAATTTTGTAGTAAAGGAAAATTTGTAAAAAAAACCCTCAGAATAACTATGTTTTGCAAACTGACCCAAATCCCGCAAGTTTCAACCAATTAAAGATTGTGAAAAGCAAACCCAAAAAGGCCAAAACCACACAAATACTAATAAATTAATGTCATTTGTTTAGCTCAAAATTGCACATGATCATGATCATAGAAGAAGATGAGAGACAGAGAGAGGAGAAGCACAATTCTAGTTTTGATCCTTGAGATTCTCTGAACCATAATTCAACAGCCAATATGTATTCTTCAGATTGAGAAACAAAGAGGACGCTGTTGTAGCTTACATCACCTTGCTAAACTGAAACAGGGTTCGAAGGAATCTGGTTGCTGATATTCCTGGTCCCATGTTAAAGAATGGACCATTGTTGGAGAAGAAGATATGGGAGAAATCACCACTCTTATCTTATATAGACCCCAAGAAGATACAACAGAGATAACACTAAGATAGAGGAGAAATTACCACTCTTTTCTAATATAGACCCCAAGAAGATAAAACAGAGATAACACTGGTTCTGCTTTTCAGCTTATATGCTCAAGAAAGCGACTCTAAATACAATCAAATATGACCCTTTATATATGTGTAATTTCTTCATCCTACATCTAATATATAGCTCATAAAAAGTAACACTGAAATTCCCCAGCTTTACATTGTGAGAGAGCCCAAACCACCACTCCAATGCAGATGTGGTATATAGACCACCTTGCCATTGGCTCAGCACCTGACGATACGCCTTTATCTGTAACGCCCACAAGAAATCTACAATCCCCAACTGAAGGATCAAGGAAGGTAACCATGCCAAGCCCGTCAAAGTCGCAGCTTTTTTCATTTTGCATCTGCAGCTGATAGTAACTGTTGAAAGCGTATGAGATATTCTCCTTTTCACCTAGCTGGCTGCACGATCCCCCGTCGTTGAGCGTCGTGCAATCTGCTTGGCTGCAAGCAAGCCTCAAGTGGTCTGCAACTTGGGTCATGTCCCTTGATGGGTGAGCCACACACCACCTAGAAGGAAGGTACTGCACATTTTCGGCGTTCTTGAGTCCTCTGTTGCCTAGTCCTAAGTTGAGACGATACTTGGCCTGTCCATCGAAAGAGAAGATTCCCCAGTGCCTCTCAAAGTTACCAGGCAGTGTGCTTTTGGCTCCTTCGTCAAGCAAACCGAAAAGATAGACATCCGCAGGAGGAGAGCCTGGCCTGAGCGGTGTTCCTTTGTTGCTCAACAAATGGTTAATGAGCCCTTGATTGAAAACCCGAGCTGCAGTGAGGTTAGCACCGACCGCTCCATCTGTAGGCCAACCAATCTCACCAATAACTATAGGCATTTGACCGTAGCCAAGCTTGGCAAGAGCAGCGACAAGAGTGTCAAAGTTTCCATCAAAGGCATTATAGTAGGCGTTAGGCCCATCCAGAACCGGATGGCTACTTCCTTCGAAAAAGGCATAGTCTTGTGGGAAATCTGAGTTTCCATAGAGACTAAGGAAAGGATAGATATTGACAACAAAAGGAGAGACATTAGAGTTGAGAAACGAAACCAATTGAGTCATGATCTGTGTGAGCTCAGGCCTGAACATCCCTTGAGAAGGAACATTGGACTCATACGCATCTGCGTTGCAAGGAACAACCAACTTCACATAGCTAGCTAGATTTGCTTTAACCAAGGATTGTTGCAGGTTAAGCATAGCTGGGACAACATAGTTCTGAAACTGCCCACCGTAACTCGTCAGGAATGGCTCGTTTCCTACTGCAATGTACCTACCATTACAAGATTGAAATCGAGATTTTGGTGAATAGCTTAGAGCATATAAAGACACACACAGTGACACATACTCTGGAGAAAAGGGTTACCTGATATCAGCACCGCCTTTGCCCATGAAGCGAGAGAGATTCTGCTGGACAAAGAGATCGGAGCTGAAAGTGGAGAGCATCTCGTTGGGAATGCCGATCATAACTTGGATTCCAGTACCCATTAGAGCACGAAGCGCATCTGGATTGGCGTCGAAGAGCTTTACTTTGGTAATCTTGTTTGCCTTGAGGAGATCCACCACCGTGGAAGGTCTCAGCTTGTGAAACGACACCGTTCCCCAGTTCACGCCGATTGCAGACTGCACCTGATGCGTCACGAGGAGAAGGGAGAGGGTAAAGAGAGCTACACCGCTTGCCATTGTTTCCTTTCACTGAGCTGCTTCAGTGCTTGAGAAAGATTAGCAATTTCCAAAGGTTACAGCTTTCTTTTTCTTGAGGCGACTGCGTGCTGTCTTTTGTTTGAACAAACGTCAGCAGTCAGGTTACAGAATGCTGAAACGACATAAAGTTTGCAAATAAATCTCTAATAACCTTCGTACAAAAATATGTTCGTTACATATTTGGTGTTCAAAGTTACAATCTTTAATTAGCTTATCGATTCCAGAAAATCCCAATTCTTCTGGAACTGATTGAGGACAAGTTATCTCTCTTAAGAATAACCGAAACTGAAATTATTGGGTAAAAACGGTATAAGTTCGGTTTACTCTTTCTCGGCGGTTCCTTATAAAACTGATGTGAGATTATTAGCCCACAAACCCCGTTGGAACCAAATTAAAGCACAATCTTGATTTCCTTTTTAGTTTTTATTTTATTTTATTGGTTCGATTATACATAAACGTAAGAGAAAAGACACAACAAATCTGATTAGAATCAAGATGATTGAATTTCAGAACCGAAAAGAACCAAAATTACAAGAAAAAAGTTGCAAAAATAAATTCAGATCCAGAAGTTTAAGATTTCATTCAAAATTAGATTCTAACCCCGTGCGGATGCACGGGAATATTTTTTATTGTTTAACGAATTTTGTAATATAATTTGTGTTTTTGAGTTTAGATATAATTATTTTTATAAATATATTTTTAATAAGTGAAAATATTAATTTTTGTGTTTAGATATATTTTTATAGTATTAAAATTAATTATGATTATAAAAATATAATTTTAACCCGTCCACTAATATTAATTCAAAATAAACTATTATAAAAACATAATTCTAACTTTTCCGTTCATATTACCGTATAATATAAATATTTGTTAAAAGTTTGAGATGTATTAACAGTATTATTTAGCATTATAGTTTTCTAAAATTTAATCAACGAATGAAGTGTACAACTGGTTTTTCAAACCACATTTTAGTGTATGCAATAATTTTTAATTTTTTATGTTTTTATTTTGTATGAAAAATATATTTTCGATATACATGTATAATTCAAAATTAATGATTTTAGTTACCAAAATATTTTTAACCAGGTTTATATATATATTTTTAGTTCTATGAATTATAAAAAATATATTTTTAATATTTAAATTATACATTTGAATTTTATCTATTATTTTATTATTAATTTGTAAATAAATCATAATCGTAAATATATTATATAAGAAACATAAATATCATATCATTTACATCATTATAAATATTTTATATTTCAAATATGACCATTATTTTTCATATGTGAATTATTTTTTTCAAAAATTCTACACATTTTTGATAAAAATGTTTAATAGTATAGAAATTATTTAAATTAGAATCTTTAAATCAAATCTAAATTAATATCTGATTTATTATTTTTAATCAAATCAAATCAAATCTAAATTACCTATATTTAAGGAACTCTAAAAATATTTAAATTAATAACTAATTTTCGAAATTAAATAGAAATAATTATTAAAATTATTTTTAAACACTAAAAAAAAAATTAGGAGTGTTTGGAAGCAAGTACTAAATGTGATTCTGTTTTAATATAATAGATGAATCAAAGAAAAATAAGGTGTAAAAAAAAACCTAACATTTTCGTTGACACAAATTAAACACCAAACTTTCTTTCATCCTTGATGTAAAAGAAACATTAGGTGTAAAAAATAACGTCATGTTTCCATTGCCTAAATTAAACCCCATAAGTTAATTATTAATGCAAATTAAATCCATATGCTAATGGAATTAATTCTTTAACAGAGGCCATGGATCTTCATTTTACCAGAAGAGAAATTCAAAGACATTATATTGTTTATCCTTAATATTTTTCAAATTTATGTAATTATCTTTATTTTTAAAGGAACCTCAACTATCTTTCCCTCGTGCTCCTCAATCTCAACAGAACATGTTAAACACAAATCAGCTTAACCAAATTTATCACATTCGGCAACATTTGACCACAATGTTATTATAGGATCTTTTATATTCAATTCTCATTGTTGATAGATGAGTGATTCTGTTAGGATTTATTTTGCGACTTCATGTTTTAAATTTATAACTCTAGTTATCTGTAAGTGCACAACAATGCATTATAGTATTTATGATGTCGATCCATATTTAATCCATGTTTTATTTACAAAACCTTAGAATCAGAATTAGTAAACAAAGTCTAAGACGAAAATGAGGTTTTGGATAGGTTGTCACGATTGCTATATGTATATTAAAAAAAAAAACTAAACTAGAAGTAAATAAATCGATATTGAATAAAAAGATGTCTTTGGGGATGATGGTAAATAGAAAGTTTTCAAAAAAAAGGAGAAGATCAGAATCCGAAGAGTCAAAAGAACAGACTAAAGATGATGATGAATCAAAACGTAGGAAGAAGGACAAGAACGTTGAAGAAGATTACGAGAATGTAGAAGAAGATGACGAGAGCAAAACCTTGAATTTGAAATCCGAGCAGAAGAATCTTCTACTCCGTTCGATCGCTCAACACTTGGAGCGTAGTGGTTTTAGCAAATGCTTCCAAAAATTGCTCTCTGAAGCTGACATTGAGGTTTGCACATTCAATTTCCTTAGATTTGAGAATTTTCTTTTGCTGTTTTAAGTTCAATTCTCATTGTTGATACATGAGGATTGATGACATGACTTGTTTTCGACCGTATGATGTATCTTCATTCTTAAAGTAAACATAGATGTCACATTGAAGTTCCATCAATTTGTTTGAATGCCATACATTGATTTTAAAAATATTTTTTCATTTATTTTATCTAAAATCACTAATAATAGTAAAATAAATAAAAAATCTTAACTATTTTCAAACAATTCAATTCTATATATGATTTGTAAGAAAATAAAATTAATTTGCACAAAAATTGAAATAGTTAAGTTTTTCAACCATATTTGTCTAAATTGATAATAAAGTAATCATTTTCAAAGATAATTTCAAAATTTGATCACAAGTAGAACATTACACAGCATTAAAACAAAGTTCCAGGCTAGTTGAGCATTACACAACATAAAAACAAACCATAACCAATACAGATATCACTGTCATTGATATACGTAATGTCTGATATTTCCATTCCTTTAAAGATCTAGTAATTTCGAAAACATAGTTGGAAGAAGCAAGTCTAAGACTTCAAGAGATGACCTATAGAATGCTCCCTCATAATTTGTGGGAGT